AGTGTAGGGTCAGTGGCTGAAAATGATAGAAGTGGAACTTGGAGCTCGTTTGCAACATGAGATATGACATGAGCTGTTATGGATGTCTGGGGACCAATTATAGCCACAGTGTGTCTTGCCATGAGCTGCAAGACTGTTACGCATTGGTAATTTAATTAAATGACAAAGAACTATAATCTGCAAAAGTTTTGAAATAACTTAAAGTGAAAATAAGACCCCAAAAATGAGGATATTGTAAAGGACGTACCCTCAGAAATGCTTAGAAAACCTCTGTATTTGGAGTCCTCTTGCATTGAGACCCTCAGCTCAGTTTGTTCAAGAATGGAAGGATCGGAATTTATATCTGCAACTGCCGCTTCAATAGCTATTTTCACAATTCTACCCACGGTGGTATTGAAAGAGAAAAAGCGCTCCAATATTTACAAATTCAGGTATTGCTGAATTGTTCACGCCAGCCCCAGATGAAGAAAGCCCATTAGAGAGGATCATTAACATCGCAAGCCAAACGTTAATCATGGTTGCACGTTGCTTAAATACAAGCCACTAATTTACCACCCTGCTCAGCGAAACAGACGATGAAGAAGTTATAAGAATGCTGGATTTCCCTCTTCCCCACTCTGTTTCGAAGGGGGAAAAAAGAGCGCGCACACGAACACAAGCATAAAGACATAGACATAGACCCTTAACAGCATAAACAATGTTTCAAAGCTTGAAATATTAAAGCAAAAGATTTCCTCAACAGAAGCAGAAAATCTCATGATGCACACCACCAAGGCGAGAAGGAATCAAGCACTAAAGTTCCGGCCTTCAAAGCAATGGTAGCAGATAGCTCAAGTTAGCAACTCAGCTGGAATTCACTGGTGCATACCAGTAGATTCGGCATGTCCTAGAAAATTTAGCAGAAAACTAACCTGAAATTTTGGGTCGAAGTCGGGTTAACTCCAACCAGAGGACGACCATGAACACTCCCGAAAACCTGGGCAAAGAAGAAAAAGGAAGAAATCTGAGAAGGAACAGAAAAATAGAAGTTAATGAATAAAGTAGCATTAATGATTATGGGAGCATGAGTCACAAATGCTATACCCACCTGGATATATTCTTGCCCTCTTCTTCGTCTTATCGTTCTTGTTGTGTATAGCCAAAGGCTACTATTCCGTTGGCATCTATACACTCTGGGGTTGTAATGGCGCCTGCTCATGTGGGAGAAGAATGTCCTCACTTAATTTGAAGACAAATAAATGGTCACTATACAGTGTAGAGGCACGCAAACAGTGAGAAAGATGGCCCCTTGATGGAGCGTCGTGGGTATGAACAAGACAATTAGAAGAAGGACGCCATTAGATGCGATAAGATTAGCTTCCAATGACGTGGACTATACGCAGGAATAGTCAAGAGAATCTGGCCTGCACCCCGGGACGCCACTCACTGTGATGATGGGAACTTCCCAAATAATATTTTACTATTATATCATTTTGTTTATTTGTGGCGAACAAGGAGTACTTGTAGGAAAATTTGAGGCATCCCAAGACCCAAGCTTAAAATTCTAGAAGAAGTGACATTTGATATGATATCTTCTAAATATAATCAAATGATAAAAATATCTTTATATTATATTAAAAAGTTTATTAATAAGTTGTTAACTGATAATTACAAGTGTTAAGCAATAAATAATAAGAAATGTACTAGTATTAACAAGTTATTTATTAATAAATTGTGAGGGAACAATGACAAGTATTAAATAACTAATTATAAAAAATGTACTGATAATGATAAATTTGACAGTTTCTTTTTAAAATCAAATACAAAGATATTTAGTAGTGCCATACATGATATTTCATAAAATCTGATACAGAGATATTTTATTCATTTGACTATATTTATGAAATATCATATCTGGCACTTCTTTCTATGAGGTTTTAAACTCTTGAATGCCTGAATTGGAATACTATAATTTTCAACATCTTTTTATACTATTTTTCTGTACTTGTATAATACTATGATAAGAAATTTTTATCAATTTTTAATACAAATTTGAAGAACAAAAAGTAATTTTGAGTTATTTGATGATGTGAGGACACATTGAGAGGAGAAGAGAATGGGGAGAAATTAGAAGAGGCCTTGAATGGATGCCAAACGCGTGGCGTTGAAGAGGTGCATGGTTGGGAAATGGGAGGGAGGGAGGGAGGGAAGGCGGCGAGATGAAAGAAACAGTAGTGCGGTTGTTGGAGGCCCATATTTGAAACGTGACAAATGATCAAAAAGACGAGTGGGCCCCACTTTCCCTTCATGGGTTCGGGCATTGAAGATTTTAAATTTCAAATTTATAAAATAAATAATTTTTTATCATTAAAAATTTCGGTGAACTGAATTCAGTTCCTTCAAAGCACATGTTTATGATTATTTTTAACCGTATAATATTACCGCTCACCATTTGTCGTCACCTTCTCTTCAATAGATGTCATGTCGCGTTGACTCTTCCACAAATACTTTCATTATTAATTTTATTTTTTTTCTTATATAACTGCACACCAATGTCAAAACACGAAGCTCGGTCACCGTACGCTCATAATGATCCTTTGAAATACAACATTTGTTATCGTATAAAATTGCTAGTCCTGTAGCAATGCCATAAAATTTTGTTTTTTTAACCTTATTAGCAAGTTGAGTTGTGCTATTTTTGAGTTAAATTTGTGAGTATTAAATTTGTGAAGATCTAGTAATATTAAATAAAATTAAAGGAACGTATCTGTATTTGATTTTTTTTTTTTTTGCCTGCTACCTATTGTTAATTTTTCAGGGGGAAAAAAGGCAGCTACATGGAGGAGGAATAATGAGAAGAAAATAGAGAAAGTTAGAATAAAGAAAATTAAATTAATTACGCAATTAAAAACGAGAGGAGTTGCTTCACACACACGGGAACAGGTCTTTCTTCTCATGCACAAGTCAAATGCAAGAGAGCAAAAACGGACGATGATCCATGGGGACACTCACCCCTTTAGATTGACACCTTAATCGACTCTCCTATATCATTTCATTCATGATTCATGTGATGTTAGGCTCCACGTTGCCCTTTAATTTTGCTCTAATTATGCTGGAAAAAGAATTAATTTTTTTATCCTATTTATAAAGTAAAGAGAGAAATTTTTTATATAAATATACAATTCTATCATTTACTTATTATGGGGTTAATTTTTTTACATGAAATATAATGTATATTAAATAAGGATAAGGTTAAAAAATTATTGAAATCTAAATGAAAGTTATGAAGTTTAAAATTTTCCTATAAAATATGTTGGAAGTAGTTTAGACATAAGACCAGAGGAGCATTACTCTAATTCAAAGTAATTATATTAATATCATCTCTAATATTGATATCTAAACTTTGAAATAAATGATTTTTTGAAATAAATGATTTTAGTTCCTAAAATTAAATCTTATTTTGATTCATCTAAAAAATTTTCAGCCTTGAAACAATGTTTTCTGAAGAATCAAAATTATCGGCTTTAAATTTTAAGAATCGAAATTAAAGTGAGGTCGAATTTTAGAAATTAAAAGCAGTATTAATTTATTTTAATTTTATCCATTCTGGTCATGTTGATGATTTCAAAACTTAAAGTGTGCATTTTTTTTCCAACATTATTTTAAAAAATAAAGCGTGTAAACATCTACCATATACAAACGTTGTTGTGATAAGTGAAGAGGGGGTTTGGCAATATGATGAAACCATGGTTTTGAGACCAAACCATGGTTTGGGTTTCAAATTTGCCAAATAGAGAGGAAAATTAATAAACTGCGGTTTCAGGCCAAAATCATGATTTTGAACTCAAAACCATGGTTTTAAAAAAAGTGAATCCATTTTGCTTATGGCTTAAATTAGAGAGTATGATTATACCTCTCAGATTAGATCTCAACAATAATATGGCTTTAACACCCCTTAATTATTTTTTTATAAACATATTTAATCTTATATTTTATAAATATATACACATATTAATTAATTATTAATTATATTATCTTATGTATTATTAATTATGTTAGTAAAAAATATATTATTAACAATTTATTCCTTCAAATTAAAATATATCATAAAATTTATCTTTTATGTAATTATCATATTAACTTATGCCCTTTTTAGTAATTTGTATATATAAAAAGTGTTTCTGACAACAATTATCTAAATACTCTCACTTCTCAGAATCACTTTTTCACAAAACCTATTCTTTATAAAATATATTCTTCCAAAAATTTTTTTTTCAAAAATTATTCTTCAAATTATGATTTGGTTTCGTCTGAACACCTGCTAAATATTAATCACATGCCGCTTGATATTTCAGGTCCGTATGAGTTGTTGCGGCTTAGCAGGACCTGAGGGCGTCTGGTCAAGCTGACAGGCCCACATGACTTTAACAACAACTTCAATAATTTATTAACAGTTACCCAAAATTAAGAAAGTTCAACTCTTTATTAAAAATAAAAACTTTTTATGAGTCAACTAATATGTATTAATATTAGTGGAAGGGGAAGCTGAGTTTCCAACATTTTTTTCCCCAAATATCAGGTCAAAAAAACATTTTTTCCCCAAATAAGAACTTTTCACTGATTTTCCCAAAAAAATTTGAAAGTCAGAAAAAATCTGAAAAAATTGGACTAAAAAATAAAATAAATAAATAAAGTATTTGATAGGTAGAATCAACCTCTTAAAAAAAATATCTTATCCACATTAGAAATTAAGGGCTCGTTTGAAATAACTTATAAACATTTTATTAATTATAATTTAAAAAAATGATATAAGCATATGAAAAAAAAATTATTTAAATTTATGTGAAATGTACTTATAAATACTTATATAGTAAGTCAACTCATTTATAATTGAGTTCTGTGTGATAAGAATATATTCCATCGGGTCCTATTTAGTACAGTATAACACAGTGAGAGGCACATCAAACGTGACCCATTTTACGATTTAAAATATGACAAGAAAAGATTTAAAAGAGATAATATATGCATACAACTACTTCTTTATTAATTATTTTGATTTTTCGTATTATTTATACAATAGGTGCTCATTTTAAACATCCGTAACATCACATTGAAGTGAACTACAATGACCACATTCTCTAGTTAACACTGGGAAGGATCATTTTCATAATGAACACCGTTAATATTGGAGCCATCCATTGACCCATCTTCATGCGCTACTTTTCTGCTTCTCCTTGGCTTGCTGCAATTCTTTCCTTCCTCTTCTTTTTCATTGACAAAGGAAATAAATGACTGGATTCGAGCTGAGTGCGACAAGCCGGCGAGGTCGCAGTCAGAGTGGCGGCTAAAACGGTAGGCCATGCGAATGACATAACAAAGCAGAGCTATGAAGCAGGCAATCCCACATAGAAGAAAGAGACCCCAAAAGCTCCTTAGCTGCAATCTGTCTATGCCTTGCTTTGAGCCTTCTGAGCTGCATGCACTTCTTGAAAGCCATTTGTCATGTATTCTTTGAAGATCACCGTTCTCTGATAGTTTTAAGATTGCTGTTGACATGTCTATTGCCAAAGGAGAATCTCTGGGAAAAGCCTGCAACACAAGCGTGTGCATAATTAATGCACTTATTTCCAAGTTTCATGAAGAAAGAAGGAGAAAAGCAACTTACAAAACCCCAACCCATTTTGGTGAACTCTTGACCAACGATTCCAAATTCACATCTAGTTGAAAGAAAGAGCTCCATGTAAGCACGTTCATCAATGATTGCTGCAACACCACCATTGGCAGGTCCATCCTTCAAGGCTTTCTCATATTCTAATGGAGAATCCAGTGGCACAAGTCTGGATTTCATGATGTTGAGTTCTTCAGTGAGGTAGTTCTCTGCAAATGAGCCTCGTAGATAGCCAATGAGGTCTTTGCTGGTTACTAAGCTCTCAATTCCTTTCACTGGGGAAGAGAGCTGTTCCACTGTGAGAATAGAGGTCAGGCTTGCTATGTAGCTGGAGTTCAGTATTAGGACTACAAATAGCCATATTATCAGCACTAAGCGACCCAGGGTGCTCAAAGTTCTCTCTCCTGCAAAGAGTTGATGATATTATCCACCCAAAAAATGAAATTAACTATATAATATTCACTAGAATTTTGTGTGAAAAATCAAAACGAGATTGTAGTCTATCACTCACTATGTGCAAAAAACAGGGTTGAAAAACTAAACCTGCAAAGAGAAACTTCACATGTTAGCAACAAAGTTTATGATGTGTTTGTATATATAAAGCACTGTTTAAACACTGTAACTTAGGGTTTTATGAAGTGTGAACCAAAAATAGAGCTTCAACAGTATATTCTTTCCTCACCATATAATGGTCACAAACTGTCTTCTAGCGGGACCTCGAAAATCGTCATTTACTCGCCGTTCTAAAACCCACACAACTGCTCCCACAACAAAGAAAGACATTCCAGTCACAAACCACATCATTGGAGTAAATGGTCTTAGGAAAGCCCAAGCGTTAGAGTTTGACTTTCTAATAGGAGCCACAACAACTAGCCCAGACTCAATATATGGTTGTGTGAAATCCACTATCTTTGTTCTGTTTGTGGTAATAGTAATGTCACCTACCACAGCATCAAACTCCTGCAATTATAAAGGCAGAGTCTCAAGATACAGTATGTCTGATAAAACACATGAAGATGATGAGAAAACAAACAGATTCAATATTTAGCCAAAAAGATGTTGGTAATTCATTTAGATTAGATGTTTATACTTACACCAGTTGTGATTTTTTTCAGAAGTTCTGAGTTTAATGGGTTACTTTTACCATCTCCAAATGGGACAAAATTGTATGGAACTGGATAAGGCAATAAGTCCAGTGCAGCTTTGAAGACATCTATGCAATAACCTCCAAATATTTCAAATCCTTCAATTCTTGACACAAATTCATGGTAACTAATCCTGAGAGGCACCCCAATAATTAAACGCCTACCATTGTTGGGAAAAACCCAACCACGAGGTGTTGTTGTTGTTTGCCCAGGCCATATCACGCCATAAAGCCCTTTACTTGAGTTTGAATGACTAGGTGCTTGTCCAGTGTGTAAACCAGAGGAATTGGACCAAAATCCAATCCTCCTAACCCCAGTACCAATCACATTAATGATTTCGTATGAAGGATTCATAAGCTCGCCATCTGGACTAAACATCATTTGACCTGTTAAACCAGTTCTATTCACCTTCATAGTTTCTTCCAGCAATAACCTCCCGTTGGCAAAGACCCTTATAGAATTTAAGTCCAGTCTACCCCCTGTTAGTTTGTTTAGACTTGAATCATTTGAAAATGATAAAGTCCCTCCCCTATTGAAAAATGAATCAAGGGCATGTGCAAGGACCCAAACAGTGTCATAGGCATAAAGGCCATAAGTGTTCCACATGAAAGGACTTTGATCAGGAGCTTTCTTCTGTACTAAATTACTCCACCTGGAAGATAAATTCTGTTTCGTTCCAGAATCAGGTGTGTACATTCTCAAGGTTATAACACCTTGGAGGTCATTCATGTATGAAGACGACCTAGTTGGATCAGTATCTAGGACTGTGGAAAGCCAATCAGTGGCCAACCAGACATACCCACTTCCCAACATGCCTAGTGACTCAGCCACATGAAGTACATCTACACCAAAACTAGGGTATATGTGTAGGACTATAACCCTGGACTCCCTTATAATGACCTTGACTAGTGCATTGTTTATTTCTTCCTTGTCGATATTATTTGGTGTAAGAGGGGCTTTATATGAGATCTTACAACGTTTCTCAGCTAGCTTATCTTCTAATGCAACTATCCCATTTCTTCCATGATCATCATCGATGTAGATTGCTATCACATCTCTCCATTGATAATAGTCAACAATATCTGCCACAGCAGCCATTTGAAATTGATCACTATGTGTTGTCCTAACAAAATATGGGAACTGAAGAGAAGTCAAGGTAGGGTCTGTTGCCGCAAATGATAGTAATGGTACTTGCAGTTCATTGGCTATGTGTGAAATCACGTGAGCCATCACTGAGTATTGAGGGCCAATTATGGCCACTGTATCATTCTCCATCAATAATAATGCTGCCAAAACAAATAAATCAACATAATCATTAGGAATTTGAATCCTTTTCGGTGAAGAGAATGCCTAAATCCTAATGAGAGAGAGAGTGAGAGAGAGAGAAGGTGAGATTTGAAAAGAAACTTATAAAGCTAACAAAGACAAAGGCATGCGATTGCTCAGCCTGCAGAAACATTAGCTGGCTAGGCAGATATTTTATATTCATGCATGCATATATGCATTCAAAAAGAGAGTAACACAGAAATGCAACTGTGGATGGAAAGAATCCAAGTATAAAATCAACCTTGATTGCTAGATCTTACCAGTCTTTTTCTCTTTTTTTAATTGAACCTTCCAGTATTACTGGTGCGTACGAAAAATTGCATAAGGAGGGAAAAAAAAATTTAAAGAGCACATATATAGTTTGAGAAGGACCTACAGTCAACGATGCCAAGAAAACCAGTGGAGAATTTGGTGTCCTGGAATGAAATATTGAGTTTAGTTCCATTAAGAACTGATGGATTGGAGTTTATATCATCCTTTGCCGCATCAATTGCAACTCTTGCGACTTTGCCAGCGGTTGAATTGAAAGATAGAATTGCCCCAATGTTGACGGAACCAGGTCTTGCAGGAACACCACTTAACCCGTTTGAATAAATGCCGCAGTAGAAAATCACGAGCACAAGAAGCCATATTTTTTGCATGACGTGCTGTTTGGCCAAAACAAACTTGCAACTTATGTAACTATTAAAGAGAAGAACAGCGAATCTAGAAATAAAAGAGGAGACAAGTATAGTGGTGAAAAACAGACACTAAACACGTTAATTTTTGCATGGCTTTGCCTCCGAATGTACGAGTGTGGCAACTTAAAAGCAAAATAAAAAAGGAAACAACTTTTTCAAAAGAGAATACAGCATAAGCCATAATATTGACTCACTTTTTTTCTTTTAAATAAGAAGGTGAGGGCTGAAAGCGAAGAGATAGATGAAATCAAATGCTTTTTCCTTCCTTAGGCTCTAAGGCTGAAATAGCTCATGATTGTTTATGAATGTGTCAAAATGAAGCGGCATGAAACCCTTTATATAGGAAGTGGCCAGGCTGAGGTCATGAGTTATGACATCTTTTTGTGTGTCCTCTCATTGTGAGGCTTTTCTAAGTCACACTAGCATTTAAAAACTACTCCTTTGGTCCTATATATTTATAGGGTAGAGAGAAGATATTTTTTAGTCCTATTCATAGAGCACTGCGAGATATTTTTTATATGGATGTATAATTTTATCCATCGTTTATTATTGTGTTGACTTTGTTTATATGACGTATAATGTATATTAAATAGAGATAAAGTTGAAAAGTTGTTGAATTTTAAATAAAAGTTAATAAAATTTAAAATTTTTCTTGATAGAGGTGGTAAAACAGGCTGGCCCGCTGTGAGCTTGAGACCGTGCGGGCTGGTCTTAAAAGGACCGCCTCTTGATGAGTTCATTTATAAATTTTAAAAGTCACTCGATTATCAATATACCAATATTTTTATGCACAATATAAAATTTATATGAAACCGTGAAAGATGCGGCTTATTCTTCAAACTCCATGTAACATAGTTACATAGCCCATATTTAATTAGTTAATTTATATATAACGTAAAATTTAATTAATTTTGTGCTTTTTACCCTAAGATAAACCTACTATTTACGGAACTGGATCTCTTCAATCGAGGTCCTGTTAATTGAGTCATAACTGGGGTAATCAACCATTAGATCGTGAACTGCACATAAAAACCTCGAAATCTTTAATTAAAAAATTAAAACTCTTATGCAAGTGAGAAGTTGTGGGTTCAATTTTATTTATAATTAGGTTATTATCAGGTTATTATTAGCTGTTCCTTTTCTTTTTTCTGGAAAAAAGGGAGGCTAGGTTGCCCTCACCCCAATCATTTGGATGCATTTTTGTCAAATTCATGAGTTGGCTCTCTGAATTTAATGTTTCTACATTTTCAGCTTAGAAAATTATGTCAAGTCGCTCTTAAACTCATTAGTTGTAAGCTCAATCGAATTTACGAGTTCATTTATCAAGCTTATCGTTTTTACATTTTTAACTTTTAAAATCATGTCAATCCACTCTTAAACTCATGTTAAATTTTTAGATTAAGGTATGTTTAGTGACTTTGTATATGATTTTTATAAAAATTTCTTTATTGAATATGGTAAATTATGACAGCTGATTAATTTCATTTTAATTATTTGGATGTAAAATATATTTAAATGAATTTGTTGTTGTCTTTTATATTTTAATTATTTACTTATATAGTTTTATACCAATTTATTAATGAAAATAAACTCTTATGAATTTACAATCCAAGCTTATATTCCTATCACGGGTTTGACAATTGTGTTTGGGTGTATGCAAATTTCCCCTAACTATTCATTGTCCACGTTCGCTCATTGGTTATTATCTAATCTGTTAATTTATTAATAAAAGGGATGATATTTGTACGAGTGTTGTGTAGATATTATATTTTACTTAAAAAGTGCACACAACTTGGGGGGAAATAATGATGTGGCAAAGAGAATCCAAAACAGCAATAATTTCCAAATGGAATGCCTGCGCGCACTCAATTAATTAATTAACTCACACATGCACTTTCTTTGCAAGACAGCCAAACTAATTGGGACAAACCCACACACATTCTTTCAAAACTCACCAATAATTTTTTATCAAGAAAAAAAACTGACCAATAAAATAGTTGCTAAGTTTTGTTTGGGATTACATAATAAAATGTTATAATTAAAAGTGCAATGTGTACGCACGCTTAAGTGCAATCCCCATTATCCTGTGGAACATATCGTGTGTGCCGTTCTGTGAGCACTTTGTCAAGTGGCCTCTTTAATTAATTTGCTTCTTTTTTTTTGTTCTTTTTTATTTAAATATTGACATTCATAATGCCTGATTGACCAAACAAAAAGTGTCAATCTTTAATGGGGGAATTTTTGCTTTTTTTTAAAAGTGAAATTCATCATTTAGTATGCAGGATAAACCGAAGATAGACTTAAAAAAAGGGTAATGTTCATAAGTAATGGAAAGTAGAATAAAATGGGGGGAAATTGTTAATACTCGTTCGGTCCTTAATATAGAACTTAATTATTGAGTTGATTTTGGTCCTAAATATAATATCTGTTTCTCATATTTATCATTTTTTTTCTAAATCACTCTCATGGATACTCCCTTAATTATAATCAAGTAGAAGAAGACGAGAGGATATTAAGGAAAATGAATATGGTGTTTTAGGAAAAACATATTATATTTCTTATAAATAACTAACTTACTTAACTTCCTTAATCGAATCAAATTAGTTAAATATATATTATATTAAGGGCCGGAGGAGTATATTTTTATGTGTTTATTATCCAAAATAATTAGTGACGATAAAGTCGTAGCATTTTTCTTGAGTTGTCATTAATTACCTAACAAAACATAAGAAAAGGCTGCATAGTTTTATCGTCGATTTCCGACTTATCAACACGTGATTATTCAACAATTCACACACATATAAAGTCAGAAGACGGAGGAGGTCACGCGTTTTTAGGACGCACGTCGTCCAAAGAGGTTCGAGGTTGTTTGGAATTGGAAGGAAAGAACTTGCTGAGAAAATTCCGCGGGGAAAAAGGACTTTGAGTGGGTCAAGAGCTGCACATGTTTTCACAAACCCGCAGCGTCTCATTTGGGGTGTGTTTGGATAGAAACCAAACCATGGTTTCAAAAGTGCTTTTACGAATTACGAAGTAAATATGTGGAATCTCCTTTTGCGGAAAAGTGCTTCTGAAACCACGGTTTGGGGATACCCAAACAGGCCCTTGGTCTAACATGAATTCTTGCGTGCAACCGCCTCTTCTATCTGTAAATTAGTCTTTATGTTCAAATAACATCTTTCTTTTCTATATCCTGTGCTCCTTTAATTCTATTTATAAAGCAAAGATTGATTTTTTTAATCCTATTTATAATTTATTTTATCAAATTTTTATCATGAATATACTATATTGTCCATTATTTATTATAGTACCGATTTTTTTAAAAATATATATATTAAATTGGGATAAAATTAAAAAGTTGCTATATTTTAATGATGACCTAATATAGTTTAAGTTTTTTTTTAATCTATGTGAAATATAGTGAAAGTGCCTTATGAATAAGAAGAGAGGCGTATTTCCTTACGTAATTCATCATCTTAGAAACATTAATTTTTCAATGAGAATTTAATTCTCAATTTTCCCATGTAATTTTTTTTTTGAATTCATTATCTCCTTTTTTCCGTATCTCACTCTATGCACACCATATCTATGGGGTGCTTGGAAACCCCAAAAAAACAATTTTAAAAAGTACTTTTATATATATAAACTGAGATAAAATATTTTCACATACTTATTTTGGATACCATAAAATTACCTTCAAAATTATAATTTGGCTTCCATTCAAATACCTCTTATAGGCTTTAAATTCTTTTTCCCACCTTTAAAAAGTAAAGAAGTGGAAGATTGCATTACGAGAGAGTTTTTTCCCCTATACAAAAATTCAAAGACATAATATTTATTATATTTGTATATCAACATTAACAATTACTTGATTGTCAGGAGTTTTATAATTTCTATTTTTCTAGTAAAAAATACTGTAGTTCATTAATACGTGGGAAAAACTATTGACCATTTTCACAACGAACACTGTCAATAGTGTAGCCATCCGTTGACCCATCTTCATGCACCACTTTTCTACTGCTCCTTGGCTTGCTGCAATTCTTTCCTTCCTCTTCTTTTTCATTGACAAAGGAAATAAATGACCGGATTCGAGCTAAGTGCGATGAGCCTGCAAGGTCACAATCGGAGTGGCGGCTGAAACGGTAGGCCATGCGAATGAGATAACAAACTAGAGCTATGAAACAGGCAATGCCACAGAGAAGAAAGAGACCCCAGAAGCTCCTTAGCTGTAATCTGTCTATGCCTTGCTTTGAGCCTTCTGAACTGCATGCACTTCTTGAAAGCCATTTGTCATGTATCCTTTGAAGATCACCATTCTCTGATAGTTTCAAGATTGCTGTTGACATGTCTATTGCCAAAGGAGAATCTTTGGGAAAAGCCTGCAACACAAGCATGTGCATAATTAGTGGACTTATTTCCAAGTTTCATGAAGAAAGAAGGAGAAAAGCAACTTACAAAACCCCAGCCCATTTTGGTGAACTGTTGACCAACGATTCCAAATTCACATCTAGTTGAAAGAAAGAGCTCCATGTAAGCACGTTCATCGATGATTGCTGTAACACCACCATTGGCAGGTCCATCCTTCAAGGCTTTCTCATATTCTGATGGAGAATCCAGCGGCACAAGTCTGGATTTCATGATGTTGAGTTCTTCAATGAGGTAGTTCTCTACAAATGAGCCTCGCGGATAGCCAATGAGGTCTTTGCTGGTTACTAAGCTCTCAATTCCTTTCACTGGGGAAGATAGCTGTTCCACTGTGAGAATAGAGGTCAGGCTTGCTGTGTAGCTTGAGTTCAGTATCAGGACCACGAATAGCCATATTATTAGCACTAAGCGACCCAGGGTGCTCAAAGTTCTCTCTCCTGCAGAGAGTTAATGATGTTATCCACTAGAATTTTGTGTGAAAAATCAAAATGAAACTGTAGTCTATCACTTACTATGTGCAAAAAATAGGGTTGAGAAACTAAACCTGTAAAAAGAAACTTTACATGTTAGCAACAAAGTTTATGGTGTGTGTTTATATATATATATATATATAAAGCACTATTTAAATGCCATAACTTAGGGTTTTTATGAAGTGTGAACCAATAATAGAGCTTCAATAGTATATTCTTTCCTCACCATATAATGGTCACAAATTGTCTTCTAGCAGGACCTCTAAAATCATCATTTACTCGCCGTTCTAAAACCCATACAACTGCTCCCACAACAAAGAATGACATTCCAGTCACAAACCACATCATTGGAGTAAATGGTCTTAGGAAAGCCCAAGC